ATATAAAGACATAGAATGTTAATTTTTGGTTCTCATTTATAGACATCTAAAAAAGTCCACCCTTGTAGTAAATATAGTCAAAAATTTTGACCCGGCCGGGGTTGAGAACCAATTTATTAAGTTCACGTGACCCAATAATAAATTTAATTATAAATTTAATTAAGGTGGAATAGTTTCTTTAGAAAAATTTTTACTCTTAATTTATTTTTGACCCATGTTATTACTTGTGAGTTTTTCTTTGAAGGATTGGTAGAACAGTTTGAAATTTATTTTATTAAAGCAAAAGTTTCGTGGCTTCGGTTACGTATTTCAAAAAACTTACAAAATGATAAGTTCAAGGATTACAAAATTGGTGCAATAATATTATAGTAAAGCATTTAGAAAAGATTTTTAAATCGAAGATTTTACATCTGTTCAAGAAATACATTAATCTCGATTATTAAGTGAGATGAAAGTAAAAATTTGGAAACATATTACCGAATGGGGATTTGTTCGAAATTCTGAAATGTCAATTGATCCTAAATACTGGTCTAATGAAAATTTTTTAAATTTGAAGGCTTTACAAAATTGTTATCTCTTATTGTAATTTCAAAATATGTGGTAACAATGTTATTTGACCATTTACAACCGTATCGACGAATACGAGATGTAAATTTATGGTAGATATAATTTTAGAAAGCAACCTTCTTCAAACGGACCCATATTATCAGTGATTCTTCCATCTCGTGTAATTTTGAAATCAACGTCGCCGCTGAGCATTTTAAATGATTACAGTATTAGTAAAAAATATATATATTTTTTGATTTATGAATTGAGTTTTTTTTCATTATTATTAAAATAAGAATAGCATCAATTTTTAGTAGTAAAATTTCAAACTGAAATGTTAAAGAATAAGTCAATAATAATTAATAGAATTTAAAAAAATGCGTAATAAACATACCACCCGAATAATATCGTTAACAATCAACATATATATGTTTAATGGTTCTAACTTAACATATTATTCCATATAGTCGTATGTTCTAACAAATTGTGCATATATATCCAAAGTCTTCTTTTTTATATAAAATTCAATTAATGCATCCGCTAATTTTTTGTCACCACCTACTAATAGTTTTTTAAAGGAGCATTACAATGATCGAGAAAATCATCAATGTATGGTGAATTATACAAATTAAGATAATATAATGATAATGGTAATATGTTAGCAAACTTTATAACGTTTGTTTTCGTTTCTTCTTTTTCTGATTCATTATCAATCCACTGTAAGGTAAGAAATTGAAGATTTTGTAAATGGCCAATAAAATTTAGGAATGAGCAGAAGGCTAATCTTTGAAAAGGAAAGTTAAGCGATGTTTGGACAGAAAGATATAAGTTTTTTTAATAATAACGGATTTCCTTTTGCTACGAAGAAAGTCTTATTCGTTGTAATAATGAGCCAGAGCCTTGCACTAATTGTAACATACTTGATGCATTAATCGTACGAGCACGCAACTCTAAAGTGTTAATCTTATGATCATTATTGTCTAATATATTTAATAACCTATCTGTTTTTGCAACAATATTTATACGAATATCTTCCAAATTTTTTAAATTCTTAATGTTATTAAATCTGCGCTAGTAAAATTGCAAAAAGTCATTACGAGTTATCTTAATGTATTTTGTTGACTTTTCAAGGCTGAAATGATGTATCCAGAACTAAAGATTAATCCGAGACACCTAAGTTGTTCTTGAGATTTAAAGACACAGGCGAGTGTGCGAATTAGTTCCTCATCTTCTTTAGTCTTCCCGAGTTTGAACTGATTTTTTCCGCATCATCATTCAAAATTCTTGATAATGTAATAGTGCTTTGGGGCATGGATCAGTTCTTATAGAGACAGATAGCTTTTGATCCAATAGAAAAAAACAATTTTTTCGACCTAATAAGTAAAATATATCTGGCTTAATACCAAAGGTTTCATCACCCACATCATCATCATCGTACATAATTAAATTAAATTCAGATAAAGAGGCACCTCTATCGATAAATAGTTTATATAACAAATTAACCACATTATATTTTACTATCTTAATATCCTTTTTCATCAATATTTAGGCCACTAATCCAATTTCCAACTAAATAACTCAGATTAGATAAATCCAAGATCTTTAAAAATCTTGCGTAATGAATAGAGTATCAGAAAAATCTATAATTATTCCACATTTGTTTAATATAACTATCATGTCATTGAGTGATGAAAAGTATCTAGATATAACCGATGAATTTTGACTTAATGAAAATGGATCTTTCCAAAGAATAGGAATAGATATATTGCTCCAAAAGTGGTTTACAAACACACATGAATAAAGAGCGAATATCTTCATTTAAATTATTTAGAATGATCCAATAATTCAGGCATGTCGCCCATAAGTATTTTTGATGCCATGAAAAGTATAATTCGTTGTGGTAATTAATCGCTTGTCCGTCGATTAGGTCGCTGCTGACAAGGTCATTTATATTAATTAGATTGCTTATGCTAATAGAATACGTATTTGAAACAGAATTTCAAAGGAGTCAACCATAATTAAAGGAAAAACTTATCACATACGTATATCATTTTCAAATTTAAAATCAAAAAATCGAAAAATAGCTATGTATTTATTTCTGTATTTCACAGTACATATATATCATTAATTAACGATATTCAATTTTGACGATTTGTTTATTTTATGCAGTGTAATCTTCATTACTATTTATGCTTATGTAGTGTGATTTTTTTTCTATTTATCGCATTTTGTGCTGCCTTTGTGCATAAGATCGGCATCTAAAATTTCCTCTTAATCTATAAAAGGAAATTCTTTCACCCACCATTTTTATATATATCTATATCTACATCTAATACGTATGAATCGATATCGATATCGATATCGATATGACAATACTATATAGATACAAGAAAATTTTTTTTAGAAAAAAAAAAAAAAAAAAAAGAATTTTTGAATCGGTTAAAAACAACCTAATTTTATTAAAATAACTTTCTTTTTGCGCTTGTATGTCTATTTTACTTTATGTTTGTGTTACTACTTTTCGATAATTTTTTGGTTTTTTGTTTTTTTTTCTTCTGATTTTTGCCAGTATGATGAATTGATAATCAGTGATCATCAAAGGAAATAATGAAAAATCGTAACGAAGGAATTCATTCTTATTTTTTCATTGGTTCGATAATATATAATATAACGTGAAGTTTTTTTTTTTTTTTTTTTTTTTGTGTGTCGTAGATTCTCTACCATAGTGTCGTCTGAAACTATTGTTTTTGTTACTGAAAAAAAATAAATAAATAAATATTTCTAATTCTAAAAAAATATATATAATTGGTTAGTCCTATCGTATCTTATAGCTTATATATGGTATATGTACTAAGCCCTAACGTGCGCCTATTTTAACCCTACTAAGCACATTAAAGCCGCATGTCATTGTCCAATATATGGCAATGAAAGGATAAACTAAACTAATAACTAATACCGTATTTGCGCATAATAACGCCCATGTGCGTTATTTCGAAACTTGCATTTTTTCAAAAATTGTCATTTTGACTCAAATTAATGCCCATGTGCGTCCCGAAATAACGCGCCCCCCAGATAACACATACTATTTAACAAACAAAAATATGTATGCTACTGAGTGAAAACCCATAAACTAATATTTAAGTTTTTATTGCAGTAAGTTTATTGCCAGATATATATATCAGTAATCTATTAATAGAATATTGATATACTTGATATGTAATACTAAAGTATTCGAATACTGACCTCAATACGAATATATAAGGTCATAATTCTAGCAAGACAAACAAATTAATTGCTAGTTTATAAATTAAATAAATTGACTCATTATTTTGCTTTGTTCTTTTTACTACTGCATTATTCTACTGATTCGATTTATAGCATTATATAGTTTCAGGTGATCAATAAAGCATATAGGTAGTTTGTAACACATTTTAGTTCTTTTACTTTCTCTTTCGTATCAAAAGTTATAGTTTATTGACTATCTGAGAACAAAGAACTAATCTATTCTTTATCTCGATTGTTTTTATTTAATATTATAATTTCATTAATTTATAATAGTTTAATAGTTATGCAAACTAATTATTTGTACACAAAGATAACTTCATTTAAAAGCAGTTAGATGTTAAGCTTAAATTTATAATAAAGTTTAATATTTATTAATAACGAAAAATAAAATATATTTTCTTCTTTAGATAATCTAAATGATATAGTTTATAAAAAATCAATAAAAACGAGCATAAGAAATTGAAAAATCCTAAACAAAAAAAAAAGAGATTAATAATATATATTAAATTTGCAACTTATTCTTCATTAATATTAAATTCATTATCAAACTCATCATAAGTAAATTCTCTATCATTATTGATTTCTTCAAATTTACTATCACTAATTCGTTCATTAAATTCGTTATCACTATTTCTTTCATCAATTTCATTATTACTAGTTTCTCCATCAAATCTGCTATTACTATTTTCTTTAATAAATTTGTCAACATTAATTTCTTCGTCTGATCTATCACAATTTATTTCTTCATCTTCTATTGGCTCATCCTCACTTGATTCTTCTATAATTGCATCTTCTAAACGATTTTTAACGATTGCTTGAAGCCGGCTTGACATTTTTAAATCTTCACTTCCATTAGGGTTTAATGTAAGACCAGATACATCGAAAGATTTAATTAAAAGATCTTGACCAATTTCTTTCCACACTTCAGATACCTACTTGCAAACTAGTTCATACGATGCTTTTTTGCGATTGCCATTTTTTGTAAATTCTCTTTCTCCATTACTCATCCATTCATCCCATTTTTTTCTCATTCCACTCTTGAATGGTTTATTTACTAAGACGTCAGGTGGTTGTAGTAGTTCCATTGGGAATTTTTATTACCTCTAGACCTTTAGCATTTAATGCTTTAATTACATCATCACGTATATGACTTCCATGACAGTCAACAAATATAACACCTTTAGTTTTAAAAAAACTATCTGGTCTTGCTCTAATAACTTTTGAAATATATGTAGAAAGCATTAAGTCTCCATTCATAGATCCACTAGTTGTAGCAGCTACAATAATATCTCTCGGGTAAACTCTTTTAGGTACTTTTTTTAATTTGAATATTATCATAGGCGGAAGTTTGTGTCCAGAAGCAGTAAAACCCAAAACAACTGTAAAATGTAACTTGTCATTCTCTGTAGTTCTAATTCGAACTTCACGTACTCCACGAAAATCAAGTGTTGAATTTCTTGGCATATTGAACCAAACTGGAGTTTCATCAAAGGAAAGTATATATTTTTTTCAAATTTTTTCGTTGTTTCACGTGCAGTTTTAAGAAATTCTTGAACAATTACTGGTGTATCTTCGGGAAACTTTTGAGCTATCTGAGTTTTAGATCGTTGTACTAAATTATTTCGCTTTTTAAATCTTTGAATTCAACCACGTGAAGCTTTAATATTACCAAGCTCTAATGTTTCAGCTAATTCTTTTGCCCTAGTTGAAATCATATGTGTTGTAACAGAAAGCTCTTCATCTTGCTTCTCTTTAATATATTTTATTAATTCTTGTTCTAAAGCTGGATACTTTGGTTTACGGCCACGGCCACCAAGCACTCTAGCTTTTCTAAGACTTAAATCCTGAGTTGCTTTAAGAGCTTCAAATTGTGATTTTTGGTCTCTCCACTTCTGAACACATCTTCTATCAACCTTATAGAACATTGAAGCTTTACGATTTGATGTGTTTTCTGTATAAGAAACTACATCAAGCTTAAATTGAAGTGTATAACTTTTTTTTTTTTGTTCGTTATCCATCTTACGTGTTAATTACAAAAAAAAATATAATTAACGAATAAAAGTAGGCTAAAAAGAATAATTAGAGAGGAGTATCAAAATAGCAATTACAAGAGCACGAAGCATTTTATTTAATTTCAAGTAAGCAAAAAATTCCAAATTACATATTAATAACCAAGAATTAAAATTCTTTAACTAAATTTTATACACTATTTTATAATAGTTACAAAAAATTTGCAATTTCTTTCTATAAAATTTAAGAATTAAAGAATCTCATAGTATTCATTTATTTTTCCTTGTTTTTCTTTTCATTTGATTTTCTTATTACATACGAATTATTCTAATTTGCATTCTTTTTTGTGTGAATGTGAAGGCCAAAGGATTTCTTGGACTTTCACGCTTCTTTGCACACTTTAAGGTTAAATTTTACCTGTTTAGTGTTAGAATCTACATGCGATTAGAGGTTTTATTACTTTACGTTTTTGGTTAGTATTTCTAGACAATATCTAAGTTATCATGTCACAGTATATAAAAGAACTATTAAAATACAGTTTATTAAGAACTTAAATTGAATTTGGCAAAGCAAACACAGGTTGAATCAATGAATATCGGGTGCATACTAGAGAAAAGTTTTCTGTTATATACTTGTTAGTCTGCCATAGATCCGCCAAACACCTGCTGAATATCAGCAGCACATTGGAAGCATATTGGTAAGATATCGGGAGGTAGATCGATATTGGTAACATAATAGCAAAATATTGGATACTCCGATATTTTACTCTTAGCACTCTGGGCCTAAAAGCAAGATATCGGGGTATTTCAATATTTTGCTGTTGTGTTACCGATATCGATTTACTCTCGATATCTTACTAATATGCTTCCAATTTGTCGCTGATATTCAGCAGGTATTTGGCGGATCTATGGAAGACTAACGGGTACATAACAGGAAACTTTTCTCTGGTATGCACCTGATATTCGTTGATTCAACTGTGAAAATAAGATAAACGTTTACTGATCATATGTATTATTATAAATTTAACCATTTAAGTATATGCATGTGAATTAATGCGAATTGACTGGGTAATGCAGATGGCTTGTTGATTACGTAAGATTAATGAATTTTGACAGAATAGTAATGTGGGTTTATTATGTGGAAAATCTGCTTAGCATTTATACTTTATTGTATTGGTATACATTTTATTGACTTTCTTTTAAAAACAAGTTAGCGAAGTTATAGAAGTACATAAAATAAAAATATAAGAATTAATATTAATATGGCTAGAGAATGTCGTTTTTTTTTTACCGCCTATTCAAGATTTTTCAGATTATATTTTATTAATGTTAAAGAAGCTTAATTGTATTAGAAACGATAAACCCAAATTTGTCAAAATGATTTGAATTACCGCGCATGCGTGTCCTGAAATAACACACAGAGTCTCGAAATAACGTGCCCCTGCGTATTATTATGCGCAAATACGGTAAATAAACTTGATTATTCCACATCTCATTATGATCGCATGACAGAGATTTATGTGTTATTAATCATAATTTTTATCATAAATTTTTTTTTTCTTTTTTTTTTCTTATTTGTTATTTTCACAGGGTGATAACAAATAAAGCCGGAGTGATAACAGGCATTTGTTATTTTCTCGAAAAGTTAAAATATAAAGGGAGATGAAGAAAATGATAAAAATAATTAATAACACGAGTCTCTGTCATGTCATCATATAAAATGTTGAATAACTTATTTATTCCGCCATGCTGGGAAAATAATTAAAATACTTCCCCAGCATCACACTTATGGTGCAAAGCACCCCATATATGCTGCTAGAGAAATATTTCATTATTCCCGCCGTCCCGGAAAATAAATAGTACTTACAATACAAGAGAGGGAAAAAAGAAGTCTGATTTTTATTATGAACTATAATAAATCTGCTGAAATGGGAAATTCTACTACAATAAATGACCTTAAATATTGCTATCAACATGGAATAGAATTTGAAAAAGATGAACAAACAGCATTTATTTATTATCAAATATCTGCCAATATGAGAAATGCTATTACTATGAACATGGAATAGGAGTTGAAAAAGATGAACAAAAGATATTTGTTAATTATCAAAAATCTGCTAAGATAGGAAATCTTAATAGAATATATGAACTTGCAAACTACTATTTTTATGGAAGAGAAATTGAAAAGGATAAACATAGGGTATTCATTTATTATCAAAAATCTGCCAAAAAGGGAAATGCCACTGCAATAAATGACCTTGGATATTGCTATCAACATGGAATAGGAGTTGAAAAAGATGAAC